TTTTGTGTAAATATTATGTAGTATTTTGCGTAATTAATGAATTTAGGGGGTCCGAAACTTTTGGGTAAGTACTGTATATACATACAATAATAAAAATATATTATTCACGAAACATATTTATTATTAAATTATTATTATTGGATCATTTGTACATTACTAAAAATAGTAAAGATGATCTCTCAAAGATTTACAAAATCACGTGAACAGACTTATCATTTATTCTTATCTGGCTGGAGGAGTTGTCCGACTTACAGCTTAACGAGAGTTTATATGTGTATCCAACTTATCAAGAGATTTTAAATATAAAAAAAAAGGGCTGGAAATTTTTGTCCGAGTTAAGCCAAATCCGACTTATTTTCAAAAAAAAAAAAAAAAAGTATCTTTTGTAAATTATAGCAAATATGATGAGAAATAAAGTGATGGAGTTTTTCATTTTTATTAGTAAAATCATCTAAAATGTTAAAATATAATTAAACTTTAAAATGTATAGGCTCATTAACAAAAAAAGCCAGGGAAAAAAATCTTCTGTAACTTTATTCTCCAAATTTAAAGTTGCACGATTTTGAATATTCAATAATCCGCACTTTATAACTGCGGTTTTTAAAAAACTCTCTATTATCTCACTCTACTACCTTCAGCTTCAATTTCAGCTGCTATATACAACACATTTAAATTCGTGGAACATCGAAATCTGCAAACAGAATTTTTAAGCGGTGCAACGATTTCTCCTTTTTTTATAAATAAATAAGAAATGGTAAAATTGTATATAGTTAATAGTGTTTTTAAACCATGGACTTGTTCAAAAAGTTTCTGATGATGGTACTTACGTTGCATGTTTTTGTGGTAATTAAAAGCGCCCTTTTGATGTAGATTATATAAATCTGCATATAAAAGGTGATGGTGAAAAAACACCCAAGTAATTACTAAATTAATATTTGTCATCAATAAAATTTTTTTCATGCATTGGTCTTTGTGATGACAAGTATAAATCGTATATTAAACGTACTTGAATTGGCTCGTCAATTATTTCCTTTGGTTTTTCCTATAGGTTTAAAAATAAAATATTCTTAAAATCTGATCAACTAGAACATCTTGAATAAGAACTTGTCAATCAACCAAAATGGCGAATTCAAAGTCTGTCAATTCGAAGTGCATATTGTAAAAGGATATTGCATGTCTTAGGTTTTTAAAATATTATATTTTAGTAAATTCATCATTTAATTATGTACTTTTATTATTATTTGCTAAATAAAAATCAGGTTTATTCTAAAATTAGCTCCATAGCAGTGCAGTCAACTAAGAGTATATCAATATAGAAGCTGAAGAATCTTTCTGATTAAGGCTTGTCGAACTGGGCGAAAAAGGATCATTTAAAATGCGGTCTATATTTGGAAAATAGTAAAGAAAGAGGAGGCGAGAAAAGGAGCGCATTATTTTGAAAAATCATCAGGTTTTATTGCTATTTTATCGCCTTTAAGTACTCGTGCATATAATGTCTACAAAAAAAATCTAGCTAGACGTGCATTTTATTATTTATTATGTTATTTAAAGAGAAAAAATTGCGGTTTTTTCACATGGTATTATTTGAATTTTCTAAAAAAAAGAGAAAAGGCGGTTTATTGTCAAACCTAAAATGTTCGGATCCACACAGCACATTATAAATAATTATAATAATAATATTTTGTATTATTTGGGGTCATGCCACTATTCTATTATACGTGATTTGTTAATAATAATATTTTATTCTGAATATGTGACAAATTATTATTATATCATAACAACCCCGGTTTAGTTTTCACAAGTTATTTGTCAAACCATTGATTCCAAAAAAAGGACATTGCGGAAAATGACATGACAATTCAATCAACACACAGGCATACGCATATACGCACTCATTCAAACATAAACATAATCCATGTGCATAGTTAAATCACATATGGGCATACTATGAACTTCCACTTACAAGGAAAAATATTTTACTTGTTAGATTCGCTAATCTATTTATACACGCGCAAGAACACCCTTTGTGATTACAAAAAAAGAAAATAATAAAGGAAGGTAAGTACTTGATTGTTTCATAATAATTCAATTTTGTCTTTAACCCATAAAATGACCAAGAAACTCAAAGAGCCCATTTCTCTTTAACTATTGTATCTCTAAATCAAATGTCAAATAAAATTCTAGATCGATCGATTTATGTTCAAATACAACTGATGGTATCAATCACTTAATAAACTTAAAATCAAAAAATATATTTAATAACAAAACACCTTTTCTTTAATCTCATGCCTTGCAAAAAATCAAGTTTTAAAAAATGGTATTCAGCTACTCAATAATTCATTCGACACTCAATAACGAATTATATTTTTATTTTCATTCATTCTCTTATTTTAAAATATTAACGGTCATTTTCGGAATATTATACTAACTCGCACAACTCTGTTTGTTTATTGCTTTATTATATTTGTGTAATGCCGACTGTTGCGTCACTGACAACCGACCAATTTAGATTGTATATTTTTTTATTTATTTCCGCACTCTTGATCTTACCAAGTCATGAATGATGATGTAAGTAATAATAAATTACTAAAAAGTTCCGTATGATTAACATATATATCATTATGATAATGGTTGTTGTTATTTATTTTTTTTAATTGCAATGAAAATGAAACTTTTTAGGAAAAAAAAAATTTAATATTATTCGTAAAAAAGTAATAGTGTTCCCCATGAGGAATTCGGAACTTTGGGTTTTTGAGTCGGTATTCGGCATTAATTTTGTAACTGCATGATAATAAAAAGATTTATTTTTTCCATAAATTTTCCCGATAATTTATTCTCCAAAACTCTATTATAAATATACGAGAAAGTCTCTCTTCTTGAAATTAAATTTTTTAAAACTTTTAAATTTTAAATAATTTATTTAATAATGACTTCTTCCTCTTTAAACAATATTACTGCAATTGCTGGCACAATTACAGAAAACAACAATAACACCATTAATCAAACTGTCGTTACCACGACAACAACAAGTAATATTGGCATTACCAACAGAGCTGCTAATGCATCCATACTAGCTGCTAATAATAATACAGTCATAGTATCTGGTAATAATAACGCCATAGATAACACTAATCAAACTGTCTTTACCGCAACAACAACAACAACAACAACAACAACAACAACAAATAATGTTGGCACTATCAACATAGTCGCTGCTAATAATAATGCACCCATAGTAGCTGCTAATAATACCATTGGTCCTGCCGTTGATAATGTTAACTTATATTCCCAAAATTTTTTTAATGGTGCATCGGATTTATTTGAAAATCAAAATAATCAAAATAATCAAAATAACTTGGACGTATTTGGTTTTATAAACGGTATAGATTTTTGAGATTTTTGTTAAAAAAATAAAGAATATTGGTTTTATTCGTTTTATTTATTGTATTTGTTTTTATTCGTTTTATTCGTTTTATTTGTTTTTATTCGTTTTATTCGTTTTATTCGTTTTATTCGTTTTATTCTTTTTATTCGTTTTATTCTTTTTATTCGTTTTACTTGTTTTATTCGAATAGAAGCCTTATTGCTTTCTAAACATAAATTTAAACATTATTATGTATTAACTACTATATGTATATGTACAACTATTATAAATAGTTATTATATTATGTTAACATATGACAATTTAAAAGATTAAGCAAATAAACTAATAACAAATATAATATGAAAAAATCTTTGTCCAACTCTTTAAACATTTATCTATAACTCAAAGTTTCAAAATGACTCAAGATTATTTAAAATTTCCTTCTATATAATAATACATAATAATAATTAGTAAGCAAAAGAATTAACAAACGTCTTCTTATGACTTGTATAATCTTACGTATAACATGTATTAATCTTGTATACAGTGCGGATCATCTATACTCAAAAGTTAAAATTTTTGAAATATTATGTGATCCACACATTAGATTTAAAAAACTTACCACCATTCAATTCAGATTTAAAAGGGGAGTCTATTAATATATAAAAAAAAATTTGTCTCGAATTTTCTTTCCATAGATTTTTTAAATTTGAAAGTTATGCTCAATAATTTTCGTGTTACAATATTTTGAATCTCACGACCAAATTTGGTAATGATTTTCTTTTCATGTAATATGTTCGTTAAACTTTTTTGTTGTAAAGAACTTTTATTTATCAATAAAAAAAGGAAACAAATAAATCAAATAAATCAAATGTATGTTGTAGAAAATATTCTATGAAAAAAAGTTGTTACACGAAATTTACTTGG